TTTGGCACTTGCTATATCATAGCTCAGATTCTCAAAAGGTAGCATTCTTCCCTCATTGATCGTTGCAAAGGGAAAATGGAGTGGAAAAAAATGCAATAATGTGTGTGTTGGGGGACACTTGTCTCAATACAGCCTTCCTGTTTCAGAAAAGTAATGTAAATGAGCAGTGGTACAATGTGTTCAGCAGATCCGTTTGTGTGCATGTGTTTATATATACGTACAGTGTGTGTGTGTGTTTGAGACTGTATGTAAATGAGCTGCAGTGTCTGTGAATCATTTCCTGTTTGCCATATTGATCTAATCATCCTGGGGTTTTACTGTCAGATGCACCCCAAACAAACTGTGTTGTGTGTGTGTGTTAAAGTTCAGTTAATGCATTTGATCGCCCGTGCATACCCTAACCATTCATGCACTACGTGTGTGTATAACTGTAAGCATGCATTAGTTCAAGCGTACGCATGTAGAATATAGCATATGAGTGCTTAAACCTGTGGAGTAATAAAGAGTGTGTGAGTGATGCTCTCTCTATCTGGGTGGCAGTACCTCTAGAGGGGCATCTGGCTCTGCTAGCAACTCGAACAGCGGGGGGATAATTTGGATTTGATTGGTTTCACATGTATTTCATAAACAACAAAGCTCTCGCCCTTCGTTTTGCTCCGCTGTGTTTGGCTGAAAACATGGAATCCATTTGTCCCCTTCTCCCCTCTTTGCTATTTAGCATTAGTGAGCAGTGTGTCACGTGTTGAACAGACCACCAGCACGACGGGCATCTCAGTTATGGTGACAGACTGTAACACTAGTAAACTGGCATTTTGCAAAACACACTCCCCACAGACTCAGATATAAGCAGTGGATTATACACATGTTCTGCTCTCTCTATGCATAATAAATGACATTCTCAAGTCAGGTTAAAGATGCACCGTCTCTGTAATAAAAATGTCTGATAAAAGGTGTTCAAACCTGGTGTTGTTATAGGGAGGCCTTCTTTCTTTGAGCTAATGTCCCTGAATAATGACATAGGCTGTATCTAGTCAACTGCCTTCTCATTCACCTCATCCAAAGGTGCTCGGTTTGATTTAAGTCAACAGCTGTGTTCAAAACTGCCAGCCAATATTTTTGAGATGAATGGGAATGCTAAGGAATTGCTTAATCCAAATACATCATTTACAATGTCTGGCAGATTAGTATACTCCCATTTGACCCTGCTGGTACATGCAGGAACTGCACCATTCAACTGCAGCTCATTTTACCCCATTCCAAAAAAAAAAAAAAATAATAATAATAATAAAAATAATTCAAGTGACATACAGTATATATATATATATATCTATATATATATCTATCTATATATATATATATATATATATATATATATATATATATATATAGATACTATTTAGTTTACCAGTCCACAATTCTAAGGCCTTTCAAAAGCGTGACATTGACTTATTCTATAATAATAATAACATTATTAAACTTTATAGGCTATTCTTCTTCTTCTAATTCCTGACAAACTATTTATCATACAAAATAAGACTCTTTTGCTTGAAATATTAATTGAATGGATGACAGAGTGAAGCAAAAAAAAGAATATAAACAGAAAAAAAAAACAATAAATAAATAAATAAATAAATCAGGGAGTATACAGTGTGAAACATCTTTTTTTATTGCTTTAAACAACAACAAAAAATACAACTAACATTTTAGAGCCAGGGGAGTAAAAAAAAAAAAAAACATATATAATAATAATAATAATAATAATAATAATAATAAATCACAAAAATACAAGACCTTTGTATCAATCAAAGATTTTGAAGACAGTAGGCTACACAGATGAACAGTCTTAGCTTTACCATTAGTACTATTGAACAGTAGAAAAGTAATTTTCGAATTCTTTAAGGAATATTGAGAAAAGGGGCTTTTTGTTAGAAAACTTACACTTATGGATGTGAAATTTGACTAATAAAATTAACAGATTAATTACAAAAGCCTCCTTAATAGCGTGAAACATATCTAAGGGACTTACATTGACGATGACGTCACAGCACCGATTTTATATTTTATTTTAAACAGTTGTTATAAAAAATAATTATTGTTTTTTTTATTATTATGAATAGTAGGCTAAACAATTAATCACCAGTTACATTAAAGCATAAGTTAAATTGCATCCGGGGCCCTGCCAAACAAACAAGTAGGCTATAGGTGCATGGCAATGTTTACAGATGGCTTCCTCAAGGTAATTAGACCTTCTTCAGAGACGCTTCTTTATGCAGGGTTAAAGCTGCTCTGTGCCTGCTGATAATTTTGTGTAGACGTAATGTTTCATAAAAGCCAGGCGACCCACCTCAGCCCCTAATAAAAGTATAGGCTACAGTTGAAATTGCTGTGTAAATGCATTTATGCCACCTCTGAGCCTGTGTAAAGACACCTAAATTCCACTTCAGAAGTGCATCCGTGATTCCTTTGCAGTCACAGAGTAAATTTGGCGTGAGATTGAGATTGTAAACTGTCATGTTGTTCTAAATTTCAGACAGCCAGTGGAGCAATCCGTATGGTTGTGCGTTCACTTTCCTCCTCCTCGTTAATCTGGACAAGTTAAAATGTTAGACGTGTAATAAATAAAGCGGTGCTCTCCAATAATGAGCGCTGTCGGCCACCCGCGATTTACTGCGCAGTGAAATTAATGAAATTCACATTGCACTGCGGTCTCGATAAAAAGGCACAATAGCCTACAGATTCTGGGACACTGTTTAAAAATGTATTGGATACAAAGCACTTTTGCTTTTTGGGAACAATTTTAACTGTTTAAAGTCAGCTAATTTATAGATTAGGCGGCAGGCCTATATAGGCTACGTGAACTAATCGTAAAAAGATAAATGCAGAGTGCGTTAGTTAAGTTATAATTTTGAAAACAGTGGAGACAGTGATTGTATAAATGTCAACATTTCCCAAAAAAAAAAAAAAAAAAAAAAAAAAATTTAATAGAATTTTTCGTGCTGTCTAATTTGTTTATTCATTCATTCATTCTTTTCTATCAGGCGCTCCAGTCATAAAATTAATATTTCGATATTAAAATGTTGGACACTGATTTCAGACGAATCAGCACGAAGGGGCTTGGGATAGCCTATAGGTAAGTATAAACACAGCACTGGACCGGAAATTGTTCGTCAGACAATTTTTTCTTTCTTAAATAAAATTCAACCTCATAAATTACCCAAGTAGTCATATTGTAAATGAAATAAAAGAAGTGGATTAAGGATTAAGCACATCATTTTGGTAACAACTGTGAATTGGGACAACAGTGTCAATGGCAAAACCGTGCTAACCTGAATTTATATAAATATAAACCACGTTCGCAACAGACAAGCAAAGACGCTTGAGTCTTAGTTTTGAGGCATTGCCCATGGCCTGTTTAATAGACATCCTTGAGCAGTACCCGAATTGGCCATTCAATCCCATTTAACGAAGGAAGGTTGTCTGAGCAGATGCTGTTACACTCTGAGGCAGAGATGGCAAATTTTAAAAGCACAGCGGAAAGTAGCTACCGTTTGCAACTCCTCAGTTATTCTTGTTTAGAAAGTTTATTTGTATATTTGCCTTTTGTACACACTGAATAAAAGTATCCAAACAATACATCTAAGTTTATGAAAAAATTGTTGTGGAACTCATTTAGCTATTTGTTCAATGTAAATTGCGGTTTTCATGAGCTTAAATGTCAGTTGACACACGTTATGAAACGCTATATGACCCAAGATGTTTAGTTTAAAATAACATTTGCAATTCTTAAAAGCCAATATCTAAGTCTACAATACAAACAAAATAAACCAAAGAAAAAAAATATAAGGATGATGTACATAGAACAAAATTGAAGAAACTAATTTTTTTGTTTTATTTAAGGTACAAAGGGTACATTATAGATTATCTTAATAAGCAGTTTTGTTTTTATAAAAACAAACAAACAAACAAACAACTAACTAAATATTTCGTCTGAACAGACGGGGAGGGTTGTAGGCTACTTTCTGTGTAGCTACTTCTACAATAGCCTACCAAAGATCACACAAAATGAGACATTTTAATACATTGTGAATAGCGCGCGCGCGCGCCTATAAAATTACCCTCCCTGTTTGCCATTCTGAATGAAAAAGTTTTAAATGAAACGAGGGCGGAAAGTGGTGATTGGATATAAGTAGCCTGTTTTACACTAAGATAAATTCATGCACCCAATTTAAAATAACTTAGCCTAAATAATTTAGATTTATGTCCACTATTTCGAATGTAGAGCACTGCTTGTATATTGGACCGTTTAGGGATAAGTTGTAGATTTTTAAATAACCTTATTTTTGGTAGAAAATTATTAATATTAAATCCAATCCAATCGAATATAATTAAATCCAAATTATTTAAGTTTGATACAAAGCCTGCAGGTGGAATTCAAGAAGGTTAACGAATTTGACTCAAAAAGTATAGGCAAGCATAATTAATGAACATATAATGAGCTTCATATTTCCTAAAATGACAGACATGCCCTTCCAGTTAAAGGCTAGCAGGTTCACTGAAGTAACCTTTTACTAGACAGCCTCGTTCACACAAAAGGTTAAACTATCCTTTAGAGACACATTTTTTGCGGTTATGGCAGTTGGACGGGGATTATGCGATTAAAGTTATTTGTCAAACTTTCAGTTAATAAATGGAATGCACACAAAAAGGAAATACACCACCTTCCCCATTGTTGGTGAAATAGGAACTTTGTCTTACTTCCTCACTCTTTCTGCCCCCATGTGGCCCTCACCGGACGCTCACGTGTGCCATGAAGTTCTCAGGAGCCCAAGAGGACACTAGTGAGCTCAATATCATAAAACAGCACACATTATGTGTATAAAATAATTTGTATACATTGAAACTGCAGTAAAAGGAAAGCTATATTTTTCAAACATGGAAACTTCAGTCATATATTAAATGTCTTACATTTTTAAAATATGAACAATTAATATTCGCCCAGACTCAGAGAGTTTTTTTTTTTAAACAACATAATGTAACAACTAATTGTCAAAAAGCTCCTCGTAAGCAGGTGGAGAAGAAGCGCTCCCTGCTGTACTCGCTTTCCTCTCTTCCTCTTCATTTGGGACGCCGTGATTCCTGCAACGAAACCATCAAATAATCTACTTATGCCACCCCTTAGTATTTTGTGCAAAAAATAACGCAAAGGTGCTTAGCTGCTTTGTTTGACTTATTGTAGCCTACGCTACAATTTTACCCTATATGCGTTGCATTATATTTTAGAGCAGACCGGTTAGTGTTGTGACACGTTTTGTTTACGTTTGTAACTCAGTTTCGTGTGTAGGTTACTGGCTAGTTAGAAAAAAAGGTTTAAAAAAAAGCCGTCATTGGGGCAGCAGCAGTACCCTTTCAAAAGGTAGGCTACACCAAAAACTTTACTATAATGCTTAATTCTATCCGAGAATTAGTACTTTTACATATGAATATAAAGGTTCACATTTGTACCAAAATTGTACAGCTACCTTAATTGTAGGCTACTTATCAGTAGGCGCCCTTTTGAAATGTTACCGCCCCAGTGACAGCTTTTATAGCTACATTTTTTTTCTCAAGCGACTCTTCAGAAGAAAAAAAAGGTAGCTATAAAAGCTGTTACGGCATATATGTAACACCAATAGCAAACAGACATTTTACATTTTGTGCAAACATTTTTTTGGTGGTTAATACATTTACTTGTTTAAAATAATTTACATTTTATATTGCATATTTTGTATTGTAATTCACCTGCTCGGGGACTACAGATGGAAAATAGCTCAAGCTAAATCTGGTGCAAATCATCTTTAATTAATATTTTTTGCACATTGTCCCTGTTGAAATAAATAAATAAACAAACAATTAGTTCATCCCCATTCCTATAGGCCTACTCCCTGTCATTTAACATCAATTAACATGATCGTAAATCGAATTAAACCAGATGTAAAGTTATAGCCTGCCTACTTCCCTCACAATAGCTTTTTGATCTTAATCCTTTATATTTTTACACGCTCATAGCCTACGATAGGGATTTCAGCTCTTTTAGTTAAACTTCGTTATTCAGTTAACTTAAGTTACTCCTGTTCTCCCCTGAGCTTTTAAATGTAATTGCAAATTTAACTGCGTTACATTTGAATTATTACAGCTGAATGATTTGTTAAAACTTCACCGATTAGTTTGTACCATGCAAAGACTAAAGAGTTCACACATACAATTTCTTAAAATGTAGCCTAGATATTACATCCCAAAACTGATGTACATTATCGGTTACAGTGATTAAGTGATTTTCTTTAGTCTTCAATGTTTAGTGTTCTTTACAATATGCCTTACTAAACCCACCACTTTAAAAAATTACAACCAAAAAGTGATTAGTCATTAAAACATCATCTTGAGCTGATATTAAGACAGTTTCTAGATTTATCTAGATAAATCTAAATTAATATAATGTACACCACCATCAGTATTCATCATAATACCGGTACCTGTTTTCCCTTTGCTCTGCTGTGGCGTTGTCGTATTCACCGGAAATAAAGCCGGGGTTTTCCATAGGATACACGTTGTAATACTGTGGCGGTGTGCTCACTGTGACTGCTAATGGCTGGTGACTGGAATGCAAACCATTAACAGGGCCCAGACTTTGGTCAGGTACTACAGAGGTGTAAGGTGGTGGGATGTACTGGACCACAGTGGCCCTGTGGAAGGTAATGGGCTGATTGAATCTAGTAAAGACAAACGATGGTCCTGAAAGCGGCGGCAGAGGATCCGTTTCAGGTGTTCTCTCCCCATCATTCTGTTTGCAGCTCAGGCAGGAGAGCATTTGGAACTTGCAGATGCTTATGAGCACGAAAGTACCTCCTACAGACAGCAGAACGGGCCCCAGAAGCTGTGTCCACTCGTAGCTGTGACTGACATTGTAATTTGTCCACCCCATAGCCGTGAATGTCATGCCAACCAGGCCCAAGAAGACTCCAGAGAACAGTAGTGTGGCACCAGCTTTGTCTCCATCTGACACTTGACTGTCTGAAGAGGTCGGTGCCTGGCTGGACATCAAAGAGACAACATTCACAGGGGCATCGCTTGGACTCTGGGTGCTGTTTGAGATGGAATTACAAACACCAGCAGGTACTGCATCACTTGGCCCGGCAAGAGGGTTTGTCCCCTGATTCCTACTTTCCGTTATGTTCTTCCAAAGATCTAGAACGCTGTAATGACTCATCTGGCCAGAACTGCACTGATTTTGTATGGTGGCTGAAGGATTGAGACACTTGTCTGAGGAATATTCACTCATCTGTGCCTGGATGATCTTTTAAGAACTTTGTTTAGCTATTTTGGACATTGGCTCAGAAGCTAAGTTAACAGGTAACAGATCATTACTGCTATGCTGGAAATTTCAACACTCAGTCATCATTATTGGTGCGTGAGCACTGAAATGTGTAATCTCTGTGTTGCATGACAGGAGACATGAAGGAAATTTGCAGGTCCAAAGACTAAATCTAAAATAGCTTTTTACCAAATCTTTTAAAAAAATGACAACCAAATGAACTGCCCTTTCTATAGAATAAATAGATCAGTCAAACTTGATTATGTAGTGTGAAGCTCTCCAAAACAACACTGGACCCCCTGACTTAAAACCCATAAAGACATGTTTGAAAATATAGTAAATGATCACAGATCACAGAATGTTCACTTTTGGGTGAAACATTCCATTAATGTATCACCAAAATCAAAACAGCAAAGTCTATGGCAAGAGGAAAAGACTCTTTTTTTTTTAATCAATGAACTATAAAAGTTTCTTCCATTTGCACACAACTTTTCAAACACAAGGGAATCATGCAATTGCACTGCAATAGGAGCTTCCTTAAATGGGCCAGAACATAGAGAGAGATAAACAAAAAGAAGCTTTAAACAGTATCAAAATAATTCTGCATCCCTTTTACTTTTTTAAAGCCGCATCCTGAGTCCTAATGGATTGATTTAGCAAAACAATGTTTTACTCAGAGCAGTGCATGACCTTGCAAATTTCAACTAAAATCCAGTTCACTAAAAACACAAACTGTCACTAAACTTTGATGATGCATTTACCTCACAAAAACATTTGTAATATTTTAACTATTGGAAAATTACATAAGAATTTTAGTATGTGTATAAAAAAATATTTATTTCTCACTACTGAACTCATATATGCATATGGCATGTTTTATTACAGACTAGTTCACCGTCCATTGTTTACCTGTTGTCGTGGAGTGGAATATGAATCAAATTTGCAAGTAATAATTGGCCCAGATTTGTTTTCTAACTGGCAGACTGATCTCATGAAATGGCGTATGTATGACACGTCAATTCGTATTTCCATTTTTGGCGTGCTATCAACACGCATAATCGCTTTTCAGCCTGTTTATCAACGCCGTTGACTTAACGTTACATTACTGTATATATAAATATATTACCTACCCCAACCCCGTCCCTAACCCTACCCGTCACTGGGGTTAATACCATTTATGAGTCTTCCCCTACCATCCTAGGAAAAAAATATCGCTCCCCAGATGTAGATCTACATTTTGCTTTGTTTCGCTCGGACATTTAACGGCGTGTACATACACGCGGAATCACTCGGACATTTAACGGCGTAGACATACACGCAAAAGATGACGGTTCGTTTCGGCGTGCACATACACGCGGATAGCTCAAAATGCGTATAGACATTTCAAGTATTGACTTGAAAGTGGCGTGTATGTTTACGCAAAGTCATGTTGCAACTGGACAGGATGCTCAAGAAGACACCAGTAGCCTATGGTTTGAATCTCCAGATGTTGAAAGAAAATGTGATATTGTGCATATTGCAACTCACTGAAAAGAACTAGAGACGTACTAGAATTCAGCTGGAGCTTCAAATGCAATCATTTACACCTCAATCATGTTTTTTTAAAATAAGAAATGAGAGTATTGAGCTAAATTCTTCTAACTCTTTGTGAAGATCAAGCAGTATGTCAGAACTGTCCCATGCTGAAGACTTTGTTTTAATTCTTTTTCCAAAGCTTGAGGAGACACCTGAGACACATTTAGGAAGAGAATAGATTCCAGCACAAGAATGTTTAAAATCAGCCCAGATTTTGGGCCGGACACACTCTTTCAATTAAGCCGAGTCCAAATATTTATGAGGAGAACATTTCCTCTTTCTCTCTGTCGCTCTCTTTGTGATCATGGAGTGTGTAGTATGCATGGTAATAACAAATGTGTGTGCTGGTGTGTGTGTGTAGGATAGGTCCAATTAAATGATATCTTGGCATTCGCAAAGCTCAAATACTGTCAGTGTGAATGCTTTGGACAACCTCCCGGTAAGTATTTGTTTGATTCGTCCCATTTTGATTCTCACTAGCTGCTAGTTATTTGCATTGGATGCAGTGACAAAACAAAAGTAGAGAACTTCTTCATATGACCCTGCACTGGATTAATTATTAGTATAGAGACTACATTGTCTCAGTATTGTACAAACATTAACAAACCTTGGTAATGCATTTCTTCATTCAGCTTTAAATGATTAGCCACCAAATTAAATCTTTTAATATTTGCAATTGTGGCTTGCTTTAGATTCCTCTCATCCTAATTTACCTCGTCTCCCCTCTTCCTTCCAGTGGTTCATATGCAGCACAATATCCTGATCGCACGCTAGGTTGCATGAGCATCCACGTCCTCCAATGGGAAAAGCGCATCTGCAATCACAAGAGGGGCCTTAATAGGATTCCATTGCACACTCTCTCTATTCCTCCCTTGCTCTCTCGCTCTGACCACCCCTTCATCTCAGTGAGGCAGAATGTTGCTTCATGCCATTGTCACGTAAATCCTCCACAACCAATAATTGGACCATTATTGCAGTGATTATTATGTTTCTAGCATGCTATATGTTTGGCAACAGTTCTTCTAACCCTAATTGATGGAGTGTGTAGCTTTTCATTTCTTAAACAACCATGTAGGAAAACGCATCATGGCCATATTCCAGGATGACAAAGCCAAGATTCATTCAAATTTTGATGGTTGGGACGGAGCATGAAAAATAATTTTTACACATGAATTGGCACCTCTGAGTCCAGACCTTAAATTTATTGAAAGTCTTTGAAATGTGCTGGAGGAGACTTTACAGACTCTTGCATTGTCAATACAAGATCTTGACCAAAAATGTATGCACCTCTTGATGGAAATAACATCACAACACGCTTCCATAGACTCTGTGTGTATTTAACAATCTATAAGTGTTTTTTTATTTATTTAAATGTCTAAAACCTAAAAATAAACATTATGTGGTCGAAAACACTGAAAAGTTGTGATATAGCATTTCAAAAGCGCTGAGCGCGTCTGTTTCTGGTTCAGTGTCAGCCAAAGAACGAAAGGCCATTTGAATTTAGCAGTTGATCACGTGACGCATTGGACGTTCTAATCATACTGGTGTGATTGTACGCATCAAAGGGTTAAAATCGATCATGTTTCGGGGGTAGAGGGGGAACAAATTGACACTAAGGGGGCAATGCCCCCTTTTGGCCCTCGTGGCGCCGGGCCTGGCATTAAATATTTAAATATAAATATTTTTAAATGTATTATTTTATGACAGAACATTCTAAGACAAAAAAGTTAATTACACTGTGCAAAACAATCAGCCAAGATGAACAATGCAACATTAGTAATATTAACACTGAAGTACTCTGAAGTGATTTCCACTAATCGAGAACGAAAACGAAAATGCAAAATACTGCCAGTTGTGTTTGAAATTAAACGAGAGGGAGTCCATTGTGTAACACATGAAACGTGAAAGTGGCAGCAGTTTCAGTTTCAGTCTGATATACAAAGTTGCCATGGATGACAGTGAATATTAGAAAACATTACTGAATGCTGCAGTTGCTCACTTGGAATCAATTATTCCATAGCGCCATGCTATGCGATTAGAAATGATTCTCTGCAATACAGGACACAAAGCCTAGATATTTTTGGTGTGATCTGGTCCAAGCAATATTACCTCATCTTTGGCTGGCAGATAGTATAGTAGACAATGTGGGGGCTGCTCCATGGGAGTTAAGATGTCGCCATCCTCCATCATGGCCCCCGACCTTGTGACAAATTGCCCATGACGTGGTTCTGCTCGCCAGGCACGAAAGCCTATTCTCTCTCGCATCTCTCATTCCCTCCAACCTGCCTTGCTCCTGTCCGCCCATTGTTCCATCCTTCCACTGCTCTGAGCGTTCATGTACCATTTCTCTTTTGCTCAGTATGGAGGAACAGTTTTACGTGCCCGTTCACCAATCTGATTTTGAACCAACATGCATTGCATAGAGGCAAAAACAAGATAGGAGGGGGGACACAAGGAGAGAAACAAATGCTGCTGCTGCTGAGTATCCTAATTTGTGAAAACAGTATATAAAAAAAGTAAATACATTTTTTGATTAAATTTAAAAAATATATATATATTTACTTTTTTTAAATACTGTTTTCACAAATTAGGATGCCCCCCCAGATAAAAAATTTGGTCAGATTTAAAGTACCACTATAATGCTATTTTAAAGGTCCCTAACTTTGTTTTGGTTTACATGTATCCAAGGTAAAAAAAAAAAAAAAAAAAAAAAAAAACTTTAATTTTCTCATAATATACATTGCGGCATACAACTCTTTTCTCACAGTGTCTGAAACGGCTCGATAAAGGATTCAGGCTCTCTAAACCCCTCCTTTCCGGAGCCTACTCTCCTCTGTTTGGTCAGATGGCCCAGTCTAAATTCAGACGACGATATGGCCATTGCCAGTTTGAGCCCGAGTCCATGAAGTGCATGCAAAGAGGATTTGCTTTGGCAACTCAGAAAACAGCATCTTCTTGACATGTCGACAACACAAACCAAACTCTTCCATGCCAAAGCTAACTTCAGTGATTGAAGGGAGGTCAAAGTAGAGGTTGTTTGTGGGCAACCAATGAAGATCAGTTGTTGACGACTCATTTAGGCAGAATGGATTCTTTCTTTTAGGATACAATAATTTTATTTGTTGAGCACTTTTATCTTTAAAACTTTGCAGACCTTTTACATTCACAAACAGCTATATTTCACACTGCATGAAAGGTAATATTCAAAAAGGTATTATAGGGGCACTTTAACTCACTTCTGGGCACATATTTGTCCCCAAAACATAGTTAAAGCAGTGTTTCCCCTACCATTGTTTTGGGGGGGCGGCCCGCCCCCCCCCCAAAACGACCCCCCGCCCCCCCTAAATTGCTGACAAATCCAGTCATAAAAAAGAAATTTACTGTATAATGCGGAATTTCATGGAATT